GACCAACACAAACAGACACAATATGTTAATGCGACTGCAATTGGGACTAAGCAGCCAAAGCCAAGCAAACACACATCACAGTCTACAACAGAACCGACCAAAAAATGCAAACAAACATACGAACAAATAATGCATCTAATAAAGAAATAAACATGGTTCATTCAAACTACATTTTATGCACATACTTAGATCCTATCGGTAACATATATTTTTCATGATTGTTAGTCTTTTTTAATTATTTTTTTCCTTAGGAGCAATGCCAATTATTAGTGCAATATGGAAGGCTAATATAAATGCGACAGTAGTTACCCGAGGTTCAATTCATCAATTGAAGATATGGCATTGCCGGCATGATTTTGAATTGGTTTTATTAAATAAAAAAGGAACAACTACCTAAAATTTTGTGCATAAAACGCTTTTCTCAATTAACCAGCATCAGACCTGCTCAAATCAAACAAAAATATTTGTTTTCATTCTTGAAGAGCTACAACTTTTTTTGGTTTTGACTCTATAAGGAAGGCCATTACATGAATTTGGAACCCAATGATAATCTAAAGGGATATTAACAGAATATTCAAAATCCTCCTGTGGTCACATTGCCTTCTTGTTCTGTCATCGAAAAAAAGGAGGCGGAAGATTCCAAAGAGACCTTCATAACATATAAGTCGAGGAAAATCTAACAATGCAATGGCAAAAAAGTAAAAACGACAAAAAGAGAAACTAGTCCTCAAATCACTACATACAAAAAACCAAAGAATAAACAATACGAAATCCACCAAAACTGTGGTGCTCTGCAATAGTAAGCAGATCCTGCTTAAACTTTGACATCCGTCTTGTTTCTCCTATACAATATATTGATAAGTGATATCAAGTGATTATGCATCAAGCAATGGCAGATAAGTAATCAATTCTTACTTAACCCTAAAACCTCAACAAATTCGAAAACCATCAGTATGTAATTTTCTTATCCTTAGCTCGACCGAATGAAAACGGGATTGTGATAACGACAATATCCGTTGTCAACTGTGACACATATCTTTCAAAGAGGTCAACCAATTTTGTAATAAAATGGTGAATGAGTTGTTCTCTATCACATGAATTTAAAACAGGAAATTGATACGGTCTTGTTTTGCTTTCCTAAAACGTGTAAACAGTACTAGTAATAATATAAGTAACAGCATCATCAACCTGTAAAAACATGTTTAAGTCACGTCTTCTTTGACTGTCCATGACGTTAAAGTACTAAATCCCTGGGATGTGTTTTAGTTGATTTTAGTCTCTGATGCATGATTTTTTATTATTAATTGTTTTTGGCTTTTAACTAGCTGTCAGTAACTGCGAGTACTCTCAAATCGTACTTTCTTGTTTATTTGACCTGTTGATACTAATTGTAATGCTTTTTTGTTATTTAATGTTATTCAGGGTTATATCTGGTATATATGCCAGCCTTGATAAGTTTTTGGTATTACTATAAATTTTCACTTCGTACTATGAACATCAAAATTATTTATTTTGTAAAAATATTTCCTTTCTCTATTTGAACTGTACACGTATACCTAACAACAAAATTATTTTCATTTACCTGTGTTTAAAGTAATTGCAAATGGCTGATATTTTTGTTCGAGCATATTGTTTTTCTAAAATTGTTTAACATAGCGGTATAACATGTTACTTTTATTATTTTTCCCTTAGTTTATTTATTTTATATTTACATTGTACCATAGGTCACATTTATTTGTTCAGTGTATGTTCACTGGTGTTAATATGTCATTTGATTGAGTTAAGCTATTTCAGTTGATATTTTATATTTCAGGTCAGGGTGAAGGTTGGCGCCTGTTAAAACGTTTAAACCCGCTGCATTTGTTTGCACCTGTCCTAAGTCAGGAACCTGCTGTTCAGTGGATGTCGTTTGTTGATGTGAATCTTAAGTGTTTCTCGTTTCTCGTTTTTATATAGATTAGACCGTTGGTTTTCCTGTTTAAGTTGTTTTACATTAGTCATTTTGGGGCCCTTTATAGCTTGCTGTTCGGTGTGAACCAAGGTTCCGTGTTGAAAGTCGTACTTTGACCTATAATTGTTTACTTTTTACACATTGTGACTTGGATGGAGAGTTGTCTCATTGGCACTCCTACCACATATTCTTATTTCTATGTATGTTTCTAGCTTCATTTCTAATAACAGATCAGCACTTGTAAATGAATTTCAGTCCGACCGATCATCCGATCTTAACATCATCTGAAAAGATTTAACAATAAATTATTCAGTCATGTTCAGTATTTCAGTTAATTTCCAGACTTTTCTCTGTGGCTATTTCAGAACTGTTCACACAATTTGCTTGCATTCAATTCAGTACTGTTTAGTAGCTATTTAGACAATTCAATACTGTGCTGATATGTGCAGGTAAACAAAAACAACTGAATAGCCTGAACATAGACTGAAAAGATCTCAATTGACCGCAAGCGAATTGTCTAGACAGACATGCATTTACCGCAGTGGATACATTTGTAAGTCTGAAAATTAACTGAAAGACTGAAAACTACGTCATTATTTTTTGTTTGCTCAAAATGACCGTTTCAGAACAAAATGATTTACTAACATAATATCCGAAATACGAGATTAGAGAGCATTCACGTAATTGAAACGAATACAATAAATGTGATGTTACAAGTGACATGTTTTCGCAGTCTTAGATATTTAGATACCAGTTGTCTGATCTGTAATTTTACCGATTGTGTCCTATTCCCAATTATGACATCTTAACTAACTGTGGATTCGAATGACAGTTGATGCATGCATAGCAGGGGACACTACGCTGTCGATGCACCTGGTCTCGCTCCTTTTGTTGTTCATGCAATTCCCTCAGTTTACCTCCGTTTGTGTGTTACCTTGATTTTTCTCTTCTTAACCCTAAGAGTGCCACGGTTTATTATTTTGGTAACATACGGTTGTGTGCTATGGATTAGGCTCTAGATTTGAAATTTCAAAGAAAAACGCCATAAAAGAAGCGGAAGAATCCCCATCTCATTCGATTGATTTCATGTGGAAACAATACTGTTTCGGCGGCCGGCGGAGGTCATGAAGATTCTTTTGATAACAGGTGCATAAATGGGCAATCTCACGGATTTTATGAAATTTGGCGAACACATAAATCAATTAGAAGTACGAATGAATATCCAAACTGTGTGCAACTAAATTTTACACTTTCGGAGATAAAGTAAAACTAAATATTCTATAAAAGGAAGAACAAATGTAGAATATGCACGTACATACCGCAAATAATATTGAATGATCAAACTAGAATTAAGATTCAATCAACAATGCAGTCACGACATTACCGTTTTCCCTCTTTATGAATTTATTTTGGATTTCGGTATGTTTGTTATACTTTTGCCTTGTCATATCATTTTTTCACGCTGAAAAGAATATTTACCAACAATCAACAAACGAATTCAATGAACCACTATAAACGTTATGTAATCTAAAACGCAAGAACTGCCATTTTTAAAAGGAATTCGTTAGACATGATCTTGCAATGGCGTTGTAAGTTTCTCTTTGACTTATGAGTTTTGGGTGTCACTTTGGTATCTTCCGCATCTAGCATTTTTTTTAAATCAAAGTGTTAAACTTTATTGGCGATACTAACATGTATTCTTTATCTTCGCTACTCAGATATTTACATGTATTCATAACGTTTATACCTCGGATCACCTGATACGCATTTTGATATGAATATCGGAAAGTACAACTTCGACATATATAATTTGTTCACACTGATTGGTGTCAATATGTTAACTAGCTGAATGAAATGTATGCCGCTGGACTTTTAGTAGCCAATAACTAAGTAGTTGATTCGTAATTTCACAAACGTTAACTTTGTACCTTGGATAGACTTTTAGACACTTTCATCGAATGTTTGAATTTTGTGTTCTTTTGTCTGAATATTTTTGTTTTTATTGATTTATTGTTATTTTTAAACGCTTGTTACCAATATTTGAATAATATATTTGCCATTTCATCGTTATGATATGTTATAATGAAGGTTTGAGCAAAATGTCTTAACGTTGTAATGATTTTTTAGGGGTTATAGTTTCAATCTTTTGCAATAAGTATTCGGTATTAACAATCGTTTTTCTCTTTTTTTCAAATCATCAACAGTTAAAGAAATTTTCTGCTGTGGTATTCAACGTAGTGAAATGTAAAGATTGGTTAGGTACTCAATAGTCGGAAAGACTGTACAAGATTGGGGTGGAAAGGTAATGGGAGGTGGGTAGGATCCAAAATCATAAAGAGTAATTTCAACGAATTACATATTACATATTATTTGATAAATGTTTTACATTGTAGTTGAGTTGGCCATTCATTGAAATATCTCCTCCCTTCACGTTTACTTATATCTTGTTGGATTGTGATACGAGAAATATCAAATTAAACCCAAAATTTTATTATCAGAATAGGTATCCGAATTTCTTTCGTGTGAGAAAAATATAAATTCCTTGTTCATGTTGATGGAGGACGTTTTAACAATTAGTATTACTTGTTTCAAATTTGCACAAAACAAACATTAAGATACAAAACAAAAGTTTTTTGTAGAAACGATTTGATATGTTTAATGAAACATTACATGTGATATGAAATTAAGAAGATGCGGTATGATTGCCTATGAGACAGCTATCCACCGAAGTTCAAATGAAGTGGATGTAAACCACTATACACAACCATACTGCCTTCAACAATGTGAAAAATCCATGCAGTATAATCGGCTATAAAAGGCACCGACATGAAAAATGTGAAATAATTCATGAGAAAACTAACGGCAAAATTTATAACAAAACAATTTACGAAAAACAAAATGACAAACATAAACCAACGACAACCACTGCACTACAGGCTCCTGGCTTGGGACAGGCACATTCAGAATTTGGCGGCGGGGTTAAATATGTTTGTGAGCGCTTAACCCTCTCCCATCATGGATTTACATCACAACATAAAAATAAACTGTTTAAATCAATTGCAATTGGCTTAACTCAAACGATCGGCACGATGTACAAAAACAACTTACATAAAAAAATAGACACAAAGCACTGGAATAAGAGTACTCGTATTACTGAAAGCTAGTTCAAAGTCAATTACAACTAATAAATAAATCATGTACACACTTATAATCCTGGTTTCTTTAATGACTTTTGTTTCTCTATCAATCAGATCATTGACTAGTTCTGAAGATAATACGCAAAAAGAAAACATAAAAACTGAAATACAACAAGGAATTATGAATAGATCGACTCGAACGGTAGACAATGCGGATTACTTTGATACAACAAAGTATCTACGGTGAGTGATGACTGAAAAAATAAACTAACGACTGATTCGTTCACATAGTGATCAAGGTTATACCAAGTTAATTTAAATGGAACCCCTATAGCTAGACACTAGAGTTTTCTGAATCAGGGGCTGCAGCTAAAGTTATCTATGCTAAGACTGTACACTAACTCTGTTGGATTTGTACTGATTGTTACTTTTGTCTAGGAGAACATGATTTATTTATTTGTTGCATTTGGCTTTAAACTAGCTTTCAGTAACTGCGAGTACTCTTAAAACGGTGCTGTGTGTCTATTATTTTAACGTTAGTTGTTTTTGTGCTTCGTACCGATCTACTGAGTTAAGCCTTTTGCTCCTGATTTTTAGTTTGTAACTAGGTTGTGATGTTGCAGGTTAGGGAAGGGTTGATCAGTCACAAACATTTTAAACCGAGTCATATTCTGTATGTGCATGTACCAAATCAGGAGACGATAATTCAGTGGTTGTCGTTGGTTCATGCCTGTCATATTTACTTTTCGTAAATTGAATTGCCATAAATAAGGCCGTTAATTTTCTCGTTTAAATTGTTTCACTTTATTCATGTTGGGACATGTTATGGCTGACTATATGGAATGTTTTTTTTTTATAGTTAACGCCGTAACGTGACTTGTATTTGCTTACATCAACATCATTTGAACTCTAATTGATATTGATAGCTGTCTCATTGGCAATTGTATCACATCTCCTCTAAGATGGCCGACATGGCTAAAAAATAGTACATAGGGTAAAATGCAGTTTTTGGCTCATATCTCTGAAACCAAAGCATATAGAGCAAATCTGATGAGAATAAAATGGTTCATAAGTTCAAGATCTATCTGCCCTGAAATTTTCAGACCAATCAGGCAACACGTTGTTGGGTTGCTGCCCCTGAATTGGTAATTTTAAGAAAATTTTGCAGCTTTTGGTTATTATCTTGAATATTATTATAGATAGAGATAAACTGTAAACAGCAATAATGTACAGCAAAGTTAGATCTACAAATAAGTCAACATGACCAAAATTGTCAATTGACCCCTTAAGGAGTTATTGCCCTTTATAGTCATTTTTTTACAATTTTCATAAATTTTGTAAATTTTTGTAAATGTTTACAAAATATTTTCCACTGTAACTACCGGGCCAAGTTCATTATAGATATAGATAATAGTAAGAAGCAAGAATGTTCAGTAAAGTAAGATCTACAAACACATCACCATCACCAAAACACAATTTTGTCATGAATCCATCTGTGTCCTTTGTTTAATATGCACATAGACCAAGGTGAGCGACACAGGCTCTTTAGAGCCTCTAGTTTTATATTAACAACTGTTATAAAAAGTTGACCTATCACAATTATCTCTTTGTAAAATTTGTAGTAACATGTTTATCCTAGAGATAATTTTAACCATTCATAAAGTCAACGTATCTTTGACTTTTTAACTTATATGACGATTTCAAAGAACCAATTCCAACAAGACAACGTATAAACTTGTCAGTAACAAAAGATGATTTTCAAAATGTGTATCTTCTAATAAAAAATACAATTGTAGCTGAAAACGAAAAATGTACATGTGAGCTGCTTACATACATACACCACCGGTAAAAATATTATTTCGACAAAAAAAAAGATACTAATTTATTCCATTTTAAAGACGTTTAATAAATATAATAAATATTAGAGATGAATTACATAATTGATTGCAAAAATGTGTAATAGCGGCTGAAAATGCTGACACAATACATACGTTCAAATTTGATATCCTTATACATGTATATGGTATGCTTCATATGACTTTAGACAACATTTGGAAAGTTTTCTCTTTTATGCAGTAAACAGCAAACCAATGTCAATCCAGAATCTTCAATAAATAATGACCAGATAGGATCGTACATAAATCCGGCATTTAACAAAGACGAAAATCAAGAAGTAGATGCAGTTTTTTCTCCATTTCGACCATTAGACAAACTTCAAGATGGTGGAGAAAGAAATCAAAATAGTGATACACAGTCCGAAAACGGTTACAGAAATGTCGGAAGTACCAATCAATCCGAAATATAGAAAGGAGACATTATTCATTGAACATCAATATTGATCAGATATGTAATTATTTTTATATGTTAGTTTATCATAAATAACCAGTGTAAATGAGTTATAATATTATTATGCTAATCTGCAATACATGAAATCATTAATATATTCTAAGTACTAATCAGTACACTAACATATATGGAAAGAGTGAAATACGTATCATAGGTCATTGAAGGACTGACATGTAACACAAGCACGTAAAGAAAGATAAGGTAAAATGGCAAATAATATAATTCCAAATACCACGCATGAACATTTAGATGGAGTCACACCAGATCCGACAGATCAAGAAGAGAACTCAATTATATGCGAAAAGAATAGTTCCAACTTAGCACCAGTCGACTTGCATGTGACTTACAAATACCGGAATTCTTTTTTTTTTTGGTGAAAGTTATTTACTTAAATATGCAGACTGGATTGTGTAAATATTTTACTAAAAATCGTAAAAACATAAGCTTAAATTTATCATTCAAGTGTTTAAAATAAATTTAATGTTGAATGTATATAAGTTATAGTTTTTATATTTTTGGGGTATGATTATCATAAATGTATTTAATACCATACTGCTTAAGTCATTTTCTGTATCCAAAAAAATAATTCTCAGATATAACTAATTGCACATGAATTCGCATTGCTTTGCTTTCCGATGAGCACCAACTACTGAAAGAATTAGTTTGATGTACCACAAAATTTACAATCGAGATATTTATTTCAAGTTCAGGGTTAAATTTCAGAGTTGTAAAAGATCACAGAAAATATGTCTTAAAACAGAATCCATCGAAAACCGAAACACAGAAAAATTTACAAAAATAATCTTGTGACGTCCTTGAAATATAATTCTATTCTAGCCAACTATACAATAAATGCATTTTTCAAGTTTAAAGTTTAACCTTTTACAAGATAAGCCTGTCAAATATAATTGGCGTATTTTTGTAGGACATGTTGCAGTATTGATGATGACTCACGTTTCAAAGCATATAACTTTTGTCAAAAGTTTGTATATTTACTTCCACATGTTGTATATTTACCTATATACATGTTCGATGAAATATTTAACACGTTTAATAAAAAAGTAACTACTTATTATCTTTGTCATTTTTTTTAAGAATTTTGTCATATTAAAAATTGCCTTATGTGCTAAACAGATAGACGGGATCAATAACATTTTGATTATGTCACAAAATAAAACGACTCAATAGTTTCAATATTATGGATAGACAAGACTAACATTAAAGCTGACACAATAAAAAATGCTATAAAGAATGATGTCTGTGCAAATGCTACATAGAGTGCAATATATATCATTTGAAAATATAAACAAGTCTAAATTGAAAACAACGTTTAAACCTATGATTGCGTTGGATAAAAACCGCAATTTTTATACGTGTGCATGCAAAACAAATTTCTTGGTAGAGGGGTCTAAATACAGCACAAACAACATTTTCCAAAAGACCAAATGAGTGAAAAAGTATATTTTAACAAAACGCATTTGACTAGCAGGTCGAACAACTGATGTTCTTAAACCCTGCTGACTGCCATTGGCGTTTGCCAAATAAACGGATCACCAATGTAATAAATGGATCTTAATTATAAATTTAATACTAAACAGAAAACAATAAACTTGCGGAAAAGATGGTATACCGCAAACAAAAGGTGCAAAGGTTTTTGTACACCATATCCGGATCTCGACAAATAATGTCTCTTCAGTGATGTTTGGAATCGAAACGGTATTTGGAAGGCCATATAATTTACCTCAATTTAGGATAGACTCTTGAATTTTGAAAGAGTCAAAATAGGATGAACGGATCATATAAACCCGAAGGCAAATATAATACAAGCCCAAACGAAAAAAAAAAACAAGTCTAAATTGAAATCAATGTTCAAACCTATGATTGCGTTGGATAAAAACCGCAATTTTTATACGTGTGCATGCAAAACAAATTTCTTGGTAGAGGGGTCTAAATATTGCACAAACAATATTTTCCAAAAGACCAAATGAGTGAAAAAGTATATTTTAACAAAACGCATTTGACTAGCGGGTCGAACAACTGATTATCTTAAACCCTGCTGACTGCCATTGGCGATTGCCAAATAAACGGATCACCGATGTTATAAATGGATCTTAATTATAAATTTAATACTAAACAGAAAACAATAAACTTGCGGAAAAGATGGTATACCGCAAACAAAAGATGCAAAGGTTTTTGTACACCATATCCGGATTTCAACAATTAATGTCTCTTCAGTGATGTTAGGAATCGAAACGGCATTTGGAAGGCCATATAATTTACCTCAATTTAGGATAGACTCTTGAATTTTGAAGGAGTCAAAATAGGATGAACGGATCATATAAACCCGAAGGCAAATATAATACAATTGTAAATATATACAGTCTAACCAATAAGCCCTCATCAAAGTCGATTTTAATCAGATTTTTTATATAGCCCTCATACTGTAAACTAATGACGGCAGATCGAAACTTTCAGGAAGAAAATATAAATTGTTTCATAACATTAAGGGTCAAGAGTTATACTACAATACTGTGTATCTCGATTAGCAACAGTAGTTAAACGAAGATCAAACCTCATAGAAAATTAAGGATATAAATGTGAATGCAAAACAACCAAAAACAGAGGGAATCTCATGAACTGCAAGAGGAGCGAGACGGAAGGCGTCGACAGGAGAAGCGAATCCTGCCATAGAAACATCAACCACTACAGTTTTTGATATATTCATGATAATTTAGATTTAATGTCTTTCTTGTCCTTAAAAAGGCACAATTTTAAAGTCAGTGTAAGCACTTGATATGCTGTAAATTGGCACATGTATAACAGTTTTGGACTTAATTGATCGCTTCTATTCAATTAAACTTGAGATAAATGATACAATAAATATTGTTTACTAGTATTTGATTTTCTTATCTAGATATACATCTAAAAATTGACAATGCGGTTCGTTTCAGAACTAAACTTTACACCAAAGGATGATTTCCGTTAACCTTAATTAAATACAAATGACATTTAATACATTTCGTATATCCGAACTCTCAGTTTCTGTGAAGATACATTCCAGAGCCGGCATATCTATAATACTAAAATAACGAGGTCCAATTTGTTAGCCCGCATGACGGAAAAACGACGAATCAAAGATTTCAAATTTATATATAACTAATATAGGACAATAGTGTTGATTAAAAATTACACCATTCAAGGCCTTTTTCTTTTCCACATAATTAATATTACCAATAAATAACAAGTTCCGGGTCGAATCCGATACTGATACCAATAGTATATGTCACTGTTGTTTCCGGTTGTCTGTTTGATGTATGTTCTGTATTTTCCTTTACTAGGAGCACCACCATGGGTCGTGTTGTAAAAGAGGACATTTAACACACCGTATCAATTCAGATTTAATATGAGCATTTGCCTAAACAGTTTCCCAGCCTGGCCGTGACAGGTCTTACTACCAGAAAGTTAACCTTCCCCAAAACAATAAGTACAATGCAATAAAACATACGAACACACACTAACCGGATTTGCTTATCCTCAAATATAAGAAATATAAGAAAATGCAAAATAAGGGATAAGGTCTACAAATGTCTACAAATGTCATGACAACGAACGGGAAACTGGTAGGGACATATTGTAGTAAGAATACCAGGACGGGTTGAAACAGAAAGATTTTGAAAATAGAGAAAATTGTGCACCTTAAAATCCGCATGAAACTAAAAAACCAGGCTAAAAATAAGGCGTAGGTACTTTAATTGAATCACGGACCCGCGACATCGCGGGTGTGTCCTAGTAGAGTATATATCTCCATTTTGTTTCGATAATTGTAGAACCTATGAAAGTTTGGATTTTATTAGAATCTTGCTGTTCAGTATACTAGTGTGCTTACTTTGGTATTGATACGAAACTTAGCAGACACAATCATGATTCGGATGACTAAACTATTTACTTAAATACTGAATGGAACTATCTATAAAAAAAAATACTTAATATAGAGAGATAATGATTACATGTGCATTCAGGACATACACATTCACGAAACTATTTTTTTACTGCGTATATGTCAAATTTCTGGTGAATTGAAGTGTCTAGGTAAACGTATAGACCAATTGGAAAAGTAAGCATACAATTTCAGCTTGGTGAACCTTTATTAGGAAGTTGTTGTTTGCGTATTGTCGTCTATACGATACACTGATAATGATATGGTTACAATGTAAATGGTAAATACGATAGAAACAAAATGTTGGATTGCAAGTTGAATGCACCCTTGGTATTTCATACGTTGTTTAATATATATATATATATAAAAAGGATATGTGGCATGATTGCTAATGAGAAAACTACCAACCAAACCTCCAAATGGAGTGGACCATCTACATGTAAAATACATCATGCTAGATATATTACACCATTAAGTGAAACCGACGAACACAAACAATACTGGATTAACTAAACACCTTTATAGTCTAGTCGGTTGGGTGGTCTAGTACGCTTGACACAAGGCACGCGGTGGTGTTGCAATAATCAAGTAAAAGCATCATTTCAGATATTGATAAAGAACGTACAAAATTCTGCGCCGGATTTTTTTTTTCAAATACTCATTATACTAGGTTCTGATACATCTGTCATAAAGTTGCTTAATGTTTTGTTGTTTTAAGAAAATAATATTGATATGATAGTATGGTGAATATCATCATTTCATATTTCGATAAAAATCATACTATGATACAACCATTGAAAAAGGCGATAATTTAATGTCTTCATAATAAAAGATATCATGTTCGGTGTATTTATTTTTGAAATCAGTTTGTTTCTTCAAAGAGTGATATTTTTCATGCCCATGACTTGGTATATACGATTAAATTGTAAAAAGACAACTAAGAATGTTGCAATCGTTTTCGTGGAGTTTAATTTTGAATAAGCAATCAAATGCTTCGTGTGATTTTTTTGATATTTTTTAGAAATGTAGATTATTACTTTTTGTATTGCATTTAAAATATTTCATTCATAACTCTTGGTGACGTTACAAACCTCGTCTCTTTATACAAAGTATATCCCCGCTCTTGATAAGTCAGAGAGCTCGATGTGCATGATTTAATTCCTGGGAAAATTGTAGCTTGTGCAAGAAATGACGGCTGAACATGTGAATGCATTCCTTCTTCTAATTGTGAAGAGTTTCGCAGATGTCCTTTTAAAAGAGGTAAATATGCAACAATTCTCATAATATTTTTGCAAATAATTTGTTGTCTTGATGAAGATTCTAGCGTATGCTTATTACAGTACTCAGGGTCATTTACAAAAAAAATTCAGAACTCAACATTCTTCAGGAAAGAAAGCTCACTTTCATATATTACTTATAATGTATTATTATGAGCAGGGCTTGTGACGCAAAATTTTGTTATTATACGCATTGAGGCGCATATTATTTATGAAGCGGTCAATTGACTAAACGATGAGCCGAGTTAAAAGTACACAGACATTGGTAACGTTAGTGATTCTACGGTTATAGAGATCCGTGTAGCTGTTTGGATTATTCCGTCGATCTGTGAAATAATTAGTTCTTAATCATATTCAAAGAATTGTAAGGGTAATAATATAGGAAGTTGTTTTGCTGTAACTTTCATTAAAAAGTCGGAAAAGGAACAAAATTATTAAAGTTACCTTACGTCTTGTTTTGTCGAATAGCTCACCGTTTGATTAGTAGTATTTATATATCCCTGGCTACAACATATTGGGGCTTTAGTGTTCCTGCTCAAGTATAAATCCAAAAATTCAAGCGCTTTAGACGCATCAATTTTATAAATCATGATTTCCATTTTATCGTTTCGAAATGCAACAAACTATAAAACGGTCAAAAAGGCTATCAAGATAGTCAGGAATCATCTAAAACAGTTTAACCTACTTACGATGGTCTAAGAAAACATATAAACTATAAGTGCGAAAATGTTAATGAAAAACTGATAATCAAATACAGTAATTGACAATTATGACTTTAATGTTTTATTGAGATGTTTTTGCTGTCAGGTTGCTTTGCCATACTCGGTTGCCAAATATTGTCTTTTGTTCCAATTTTAAT